AAAAAAAAAAATAATTCAAATAATATATTTTCACACATTAAACAAACATTTATGGAAAGAAAATTGTGACAAAATGGGGAGAGGATAAGATACAAGCATTCATACAAATTAGGCCAAAAAGTAGGTCCCACTTATTGAATGGGGCATTTTTGTATTGTTCTTAAAATCTTATCTCACAGCGTTAAGCCAATTAAGCGCGCGCAGTAAGAACAAAATCGGGTCGCCGAGTATTTCTAACACAGAGACACCATCCCACCTAATCGGTGGCAGCCGGTTGTTCTCCATTGAACAAACGCGTCTACATTTTCTACATTTTCCTAAGGGGGAAAAAAAAAAAAAAGGAAAAAAGACTAAAATTCCAAAAAATATATAAAATTCCAAAAAAATAAAATCGACTTTTATCACAAAATTTCTAGTTTTCGAACTATACTCATTTAAGAAAATTAAAATTATTATAACTTAACTTCTATTCATTTTGTATTTCTTCGCTTCCTTTTTTTAGTTAAACACGTATATATGGACCAGATCACAACGATCAACCTAAAAATACTCTATTGTTTATTAAAGAGTAGTTGAAATTTATTATAGTTGCTTTATTCGCACACGTGGACTTAGAAATTGATTTCGTGTCGGTGACGTGTAGTATAAACCATGAAATTTCTTTCAATTCGTAGACACGTGGTAAATAGTTAATAACAAATGCTACTACTTTGAATCAAAGGTCTCTAATTTCTCTTAAATTAAGTTATAAAAATTTATTAGAAAATGGGTCTAAAAATAAGAAAAAAGTCGGGGTATATTGAAAAGAAAAATGCTTGTTTTCATTATCAGATACAGATTGATGAGGTGACGATAAATTGAATTAAAGTTGTTAAAATCTTTTCATTACTTAAACGATTGTACGTATGTAATGTTGGTTAATTACAAAGAGAATCGGATGAATTTTTTTGTATTTGGTTCGTAAGATTTTGATTCAATGAAATCTCGTCGCCTTATTTGTTGATAAATAAATTTGTAAATCGAGATGTATTAGCGCAACGGTATTGAAAAAGGGGATGGACTTTGAAAAACGGGTTGTGTAAGCAATAGACAAGACTTTTACGTGAACCGGTTTCTTTGTGTTGATCACCTGTCCTTTTTCAACTCCAAAACATTGAAAAGAAAAATGAAAAGAAAAGAACCTTGAAAAAAAAAAAAAAAACGTGTCTCTCTCATCCCTCCTAGCAGCGCCTTGTATTGTGTTTAGACAGAGAGAGAGAGAAAAAAAAAAAAAGAAAAATAGAAAGAAAAGAAAAAAAAAAAACAAAAAAAAAAAAAAAAAAAACGTGTCTCTCTCATCCCTCCTAGCAGCGCCTTGTATTGTGTTTAGACAGAGAGAGAGAGATAGAGAGAATATCTCTCATTACTTTTTAACATTATTCTTCACCAAATCTCCCTAAATAAGCGCACAACTATTCTCTGGATTTCTCCATTGATTTTGTGGAACAAATTCCCTTTCATCTCTGTGATTGAACAAAACCCACTATGGATTTTTACTTCTTTTTGAACGGTTTGAAAATTCCCCGGAATAGCGCACATATATAATTTTTTTTGGAATTTTTGTTGATTTTCTAGATTTTTTTTGGTTCATTGTGGACGCAATCTGTGTTCAGAATTCATTATCATTTCTGATCATCTGGAAAGTGAACTGGTTTTCATCTTTTGTTCTAAGAACTGCACATCAGAATTTCTGGGTCAAAACTGATAGACTCAACCTAACTTTTCAGTAAGAATTCAATTGAGAACTCGAGTCCTTTTTGATTTCCCGGTATCATCAGGATCGAGCTTTACCCATTTTTAGCAAGATTTCTATTTTGTAAATCTGGGCAGTGACTGGAATTTCCAATTGAATAAAGACCATCTGAATTGAGTTTTTCTAACATGACCAACAGTTCAGGGACTCTTGATAGATGGAGGGAGTATTTCAGGAGTTCAAATTCAGATATCTTTATTATAATTGAGCACGCAATTATGGTAGCAGCCTTTGATTGTCCTCATGACTTCAAACTGAAGAGGGGGAGAATTACGGAGATGCTTTTCACATGTAAACAAACAAAGTGTTTTGGATGCGAAAGAATTGAATTGGCTGTTCCATGTGAACATGATGCAGAAAAAAGTGATGAGAAGTACAAAAGTGAAAATGAGGCTGGTGGGAGTAAAGACACAAAAGAAAGCACAGTGCATAGCAATGGAGATGATGATCATACGGAGATGAATGTGAATCATGTCAACAATTTCAGTTACGGAGAAGCAGAGGCATTGACTGATGAACTTGAGGAGGAATCTCAGTTGCTTGGAGAGGTTTTGAGGATTAAAGAAATTCTTGACAACAGTGAAGAAGAGGTTTATTTATATTCACTGCAGTTAAATTCTTTATTTAGTTTTTGCTTTCATCAATTTGCAGATGGGCTTTTCGTATCTGCTTTGATAATTCAGTTGATCGGCATGAATTGGGATCTGTTCTACTAACTTTTAGATTGTCAGATTAGTTCTTTTTTATGTTAAATTGGACTGTGAATGTGGCCTAATTGTATCAAAAGTTTCATTTACTAGGATTTTTGCAGCAAGGTATTTTTCGAAACGGTTAAAAATCTCCTGCTTAGTTTATAAGTTTTGATAGATCGTGGAAATGCTGTTACTGTTTAATGTTTGATTATGCGAACATTACATGATTGCTTTAGCTAGCTTTATGTGTTTTTTCCTCAAGTTAACTCAATTTGGCTGTTCTTTTTTGTCTGGCAGTCTGCTTCATTATTGTTTGACTCACTGAGGAGGCTTCAACTGATGCCTTTGTCCGTAGAGATTCTGAAGGTTTGAGTAGAATCCTTTAGTAGTTGATAATTATGCTTTGCTAATTTTGGAGAAGAATTGTAGCCTATTTGATCTTATGTAGAAGTTACGAGAACTGTTCTTAACTTCTTTCTTTCTATTTCAGGCTGCGGAGATTGGAAAGTCCGTTAATGCTCTGCGGAAGCATGGATCAAAGGAGATTCGTAATCTTGTAAAAGCATTAGTTGGGTATGGTCTCTGGCCTCTTAGCTCTGTCATAGTTGTTGTCATTGAGGGCTGTAGTTAATGGATATTGATTACACATTCGAGATTGTTATCGTGATCTTTTATATCTGATCATAACTTCACGTTACTCGAGCTTTTGTTCCTGTTAGATATTAATTTATTCTGGCACGGAAAGATAGAATTGACCGCATTGATGGTTATCGATCGAATCTCATTTATTTACTTGCTTTTATGGTCTGACAATTCACTTTAGGGTGAGAGATGAACTTTTCAGGACTGAAGTTTGATTAAATCCTTGCCTTATCTGTATGGAATTCACGTAATCTTCATGTTAACGGTAGTCGTATCTTAATAATTTGGCATTTTTGCATCTGTGCGACACGTGATATTTGATCACTACTTAATTATGTCTTTAAATCAGAAGTACACGAATAACAAGTATTTTGTAATACAGGGATTGGAAAATCATGGTTGATGAATGGGCTAATGCTACAGAGGCCATTACAGGTTGTTTATCTGGAAGTTATTTCTATAGAACATGCATCTAAAATTAACTATTTACTTTCAATAGGGAATTACTGTGTTACTTTTGTTCTACAGGTGCAGAAGTGGCAAAAGAATCAGTGAAAACGTCTGCTTTTGAAGAAGAGGAAGGGCTTCCGTCTCCTCCAATGGACGAAGGAGCCTTTTTTGCTACACCTACTTCAATGGAACTGTTACAGGTGTAATATTTAACCGCCTTTCTTGGCTCAAAACTTATATAATTTTCATTTGTGTTTATGTGCTGACTTAGATTTGCTTATCTTGCTTTCTTCTATTGTCGTTTGGGAAGTTCTTTGACGGCATAGATGATGATGGAAGTGAGTTATTTTCCCGATCCTTATGATCATGCTCTTTTAGTATAGCTTTTGCTACTCGGTTCTTTATTTGAATTCCCCACTAATAGAGATGTATGATTTTAGCTGGGGACATTGTTCTGGATCCTCGAAACAGTGGGGAATTCAACAAGAACCGCGAAAATGGCAGAAAGCCAACGCTTGGGAAACCAAGCATCCCAAAATGGAAAGACGAGACTCCCGAATTCAACAATAACCATGAAAATGGCAGAACGCCGATACTTGAGAAATCTAGTATCCCTAAAAGGAAAGATCGGACTCCCGATTCAAGTACTCGTCCAAAGGATGCAAAAGATGAACGAAAGAAGGATTCGGAAGCTGTGGTGATGAAACAAACTCCTATGTGTAAACCAAATAAGCTGCCCAGCCATGAAACTGGACCCAGGATGCCGAGACCAGCCTTGCAAAACAAGGTTAAAAATGAGATAAAGGTCCTGCAGAAAGCGGACAAAGGCATGATTCAGAAGAAACCCATGCCGCCTCAACAAGATGTGAGTGTCGTGAGTACATATTTATTGGTGTTTGGCCTTGAAGCTTTATCGTTTATACGACTGTTATAAGTTTGCTTTAACAGAAGTTGAGGGGCAATGATGAGGCTTCGGTGCGAGAAAAATTAGAGGCTGCAAAGAGGAAGCTCCACGAGCGCTATCTAGAAGCTGAAAACGGTTAGTTTGTCCTATTTTGAAATTCACACTTCTTAATGCGAATAATTGGTGCTAGGAGATGATATGGAATACGCCTGCTCAATTATTTCATAAGATCACAGATTTCGTCTATCTGATTTTTCTTTTAACTTGCCAACAGCCAAGAAGCAGCGGACAGTACAAGTTGTGGAGTTCTGTGATCTCCCCAAGCAGAGTCTTGCCCAGAGGAACCAGCACATGAGGCCTGGAAACCATAACAGGCACTGGGCAAATGGACGTCGGTAGATTATGTAATTACTAAACCTAGTTTTGACATCCTTGTTTATTTTGTCTTGAGCTGCTCGAGAACTTGAGAATCTCAAGCGATTATTTCGAATAGGCATGGTTTTTCACATGTTTAAATTAGTGAATGTAGTACAGACCCTTTAGTCGAACTTTTAACTGAGGATTCAGTCTCTAAATCTTTATTTGGTGTAGAGGAACCCTAGACTGTAGACCGGTGGCAACATTTTGCAATGAAGTGTAAAAACCGTTTAAGCATGAATGCAATAGAAAGGATAAACCTTTTCGGTTTTAGAAATTTTGCGATCGACCAATCCATGCATGTTCTTTCCAATTTATTCTGTTTCTGTATCCGAAGCTATGATGCTAGGTCCGACGATGGGTAGCATGCGTTCGACCGATGTGTTATTTATTTATTTATTTATTTTTGGCTGCTTTGTTAAAGTAAGCTTAAAGAAGGGAAAACCGGTTTTGACTTTTGATTCAACTCCTTGAAACTAGAGAACATTAACTAAAACATTAGTAGTCAACTATCCAGGCTATTGATTCTGTTTTTTTTAAGAAAATAAGTTAAGGTAATATTTGGGAGTGGTTGAGTCCACACGGTTTAGATTGACCAATTCATAATTCATCTTCTTGGAAATTATCACTTTATTAGAAGAAATTTAATAGATGCAGAGACATAATTCGAGGTGACAGTAGATAATTTGATAAAAACAATCCAATGATGAAATGATACGTGTTATTATGGCAAAAATTATGTTAAGACACATGGTACTGTAACATGATTCAATTTTTATACTCTACTTTTCATAAATTCCGTGTAAAATAAGATGGCCTACTTTTGACCATTTTACTTTTTTGCATACTTTTCAACTGCCTTCCGAGAACTGGTCAAACCAAACATGCCGCTAAAAGTATTTAAATTCACGGCCTTTATGCCGGAGCACGTGGCGCCGGTGGCGGAAGGAATATTTTGTAAAGATTGAAAAATGAGTACAGGAAATTTTCCCAGAAACTTACCAGAAAATGATTGTGGCCTTTGATTTTTTTTTTCCCGCCTTTTGTANTTTTTTTTTCCTGCCTTTTTGTATAAATCCTGGCCTTTGATTTCAAAAATTTGGCAATTGTCTGGCAAATCTTTCTGTACCTATAGCACGGTTCTTGAAAAATACGGAAATTGAAAAGAATATTAAATGGTGAAAATTAAGAATAATAATATTTGTACATAATGTACAGATGAGGTGTCAAAAAGACTATGGGTGTGTTTGAGCCAAATTATTTTGGAAGAATTAAATCGATCTATACCTTCTTTTTTCTCTATTGTTGCGATCAACCATTGCTTTGCTGCTATTACGTATAATCAACATCTGATCAATATTTTTCTATGAGTTTACATGTGGATTTAGGACTTTGTTTTATTATCTCACAAGAAAGATGAATAAAAATTAAAATAGATAACAATATTCAACTAACAAATAAAATAACTTCAATTGCCCTTCGACATGAAACCATTCAATGTATAGAGTCAAACTAGCATAAAAAAAATGAACTAGGAAATCAAGCAACTTGGTTGTCAAGTTGGTACAATATAATAGTCCAAATGAAATCTATATATTCTACATTTTTAAGCCGGCAAGTTTTGTTTATAAAAGATTTAGGACGTTTTCAACTCTGCATAAACGTAAAATTTTATGATAATCTTATCAAACACCTCTATCGACTGGTCAAGAATTTATATCAAATGAGCCTCTAATAGATATAACTACGTACTTCGTAATCGTTCATCATATTCTTTTAGAGGATCATCCTTCATGTGATAATAAACAATAATCTACAAATTAAATTTATCGTAATGAACATATTATCATGTGACAAATCATTAGAGGACAACATTCAATTCTTGACTAGTGGATGGCGGTGCTTATTAAAAATAATTTCTTTTGCCAAAAAAAAGTCAAAAGTGAAGATAGAATGCAATTCATGTTGTGGAAATATTCTTTCCTAATCCTTGTGCAAATGGTAGTGGCATTTGACAATAGATCATTTGACAGATTGCAAGGGATAAAAGGGATTTCTATTCTCATCCTCTTCCACCTCCCATCAAAGGAAATATCTCCAATAATGATACAAAACTCAAAAAAAACACACACACCCACATGAGTGTGCGTGTGTTTGGTGGATAGTTGATTCAAAGGACCAATACCAACATGCCACGTTTTTATCATAAAATATCCAAACAGTACTCCAAGCAATGCAAAGTGCTATGAGTATTGATTGTTGTTAGATTCGTCATCACGTATGGCTTTATAGCTTTTCGTTTTAATTGATTGGACATTAAAGTTTATCAACAATGCGTTTTACGTAATGTTTTGTTGTAGTACGTATCATTAATTTTATATTATATGATTTTGATTGTGTCCAAAGTTAAATGTAAGATCAAAATTCTGATTATATAGTTGGAATTTAGGATAATTCCAATTCATTGAGAGTATAAACGCATAGACGTAGTGGGAAATTCTATCAATAAGACGGAATCAATTCTCTTATTGTTTAACAAAAAGATCATAACGATGTTGAATTGTATATGCTGGCTCCAATTATTGCGGCTGTTAACGACGATCACATTTTATTATTGAAAAAGTACAATGAATAATTACTCCCAAGAGGAAAATACGTCGTAATGCAACCAAACTCAATTATGTGTTTGTCTAAAAACGCATGATTATAGAAGTTTCTTAATATGTAATCATGCGATCATTTTCTCGTTGTGTGTTCTTTTTATGTAATTTATGAGAATGTCAAAATGTCAAAATCCGTATATGTTTGTTGTAAGCAATCTATTTAGGGGCTTGTCACTTTCACGATATTGCATTAGACTTTCCAATAAATGAACAAATTTTAGATAGGAAGTAAGCAATACACAAACGCATATAGGAAAAATTGGGTTCTCTCTAAATTAGCTACTTTACTTTTTTTTTTTTTTATCTAATGCAAATCAAAGCCTTTAAAATATGTGAGATATGTTAGATTTCACGATATAATAAACAAATGTATCATTTACTTCAGGAGAATTTTTTTTTTTTTTTGGGTTTCACTTTAAATTTTAATGGGTCTAATGTAAACTTATTAAATTAGGAGATTAGAAGGGGCGGCTGGGTGGGGGGACCCTAAATAGGGATGTCAAAAAAGCTCGTCGGCTCGGACGACCTGTGGCTCGGCCCGAGAAAAGCCCGAGCCGAGGCTTGGCCCGAGCCCCATTTTGGGGCTCGGCTCAACCCGTGAGCCCATGTCACGAGCCATTTCGGCTTGACGAGCCGGGTTTTTAGAGAACTTTTTATATTGCTATAGTCCTAAGCTTGACTTCTTGCAATGAACTTTTCACGATGACCTGAAGCAGCCTGTGCCAAGTCTTGCACCACAATTTCCAACTTTGTAAACTTCATTCTTTTCTCTCCAAATTATAAAGCGACATTTTTCATTTTTGAGTGTTCCAATTAGCCCACCTATTTTCCTATTTTTCATCAATTCTAAAGCACCCTTGAGGTCGGATGGTCTCGAATGTCACATATATACTACTTTTTGTTCATTTTCTACCCTTGAGATCAACTCACATTTTTCACCATAGATTAACAATTAACTCATTGCTAAGAATAATCGACCCAAAAATCACTAACACAGCCTCTCTCGATATCTATAACAAACAAGTCCACTAAAAATATAATTTTTACTACTTTAATGAGAACATCACCAACCACGCATCGTGATGCCCGGTGGATCTATCAATAAACTATAGAGCTATAGTAATTGCTTTTACTTCTTCCAAATCAAGTTTCATGTAGATAGGCATCTAATTAACACTTGTACCTAAATCACATAAAGCATTAGAAGTACAAAAATTTCCATTAGTGCATATTATTTTGAAACTCTCTAGATCTTTTAGTTTTAAAGACAGCTTGTTGAGCATAACACCACAATCATTGAACGCCGTTGCCTCATATTTTCTAAACCTTCTTTTCTTGAACAATATCTCCTTCGAGAATTTGGTGCAAACTGCTTGTTGAGCTTGTTCTTCTATAACTTTTGATGAAAATGAATTGGATGCACATAAGTTGGGCTTGGTGCCTGAGCTTCAGATAAGTGTGTGCTATCATTGTAATCAATTTCCTTAGCTATTTCAGATTGTTCTTCAACTTCTTCTTTGTCAATCAACAAATGTTCATCATTCTTCATCGATCTTTTCACATGAAATTTTTGACAGTTGTACCTCGCTCCTAGTAGTTATGGTCTACCCTCTTTGTTCTTTTGAGTATTTTCAAAGTCTTTAAGGGAATAGAATTCAAGGCACATATACTTTAATTGGAGTAGCTATCTTAGTCTGTGGATTGTCAAAAGTCTTGATCTTGCTTCAATGCTAACGGGACTTTGCATGTCCGTCTATATATATATACATAGTTTTCACAATCAAATTGCAATTACAAAATCTCACATGTAATACTACTCTACTAGATATGCCATAAATTACAAAGTGTCATAGCAGAAGAAAATAAGCACTATATTGTACACGACAACATCGTACCTTTAGCAATCATAACACACTATGATGGGTTGTGATGTCAATTATATTAATTGCATTCAGTTCATTGGGCTGTGATGAAATTGGGCTTAGCCTATTGCTGGATTGGTTCTAGCCATTGCCAAATAAATAATTTGAAATAGACCCAAACCCCAACCATTTTGATGGACACGCGTGTTACTCTGGGCCGTTGATAATTGGCTGAGATCAACGATGATGGATTTGTGTATTTAAGGGGCTTGAACAGTCGCCCTTATTCACTTTTTCATTATGTTCTTGTTCATAAAGCTTCTGGGGTTTTCTCTGTGTCATTTCTTCCGTTCCTTCTTTCAATTACTTTGTGTTGATCAAAACTTCTGATTTTAGTTGTTAAATCTGTATGATTAGAGTTTGTGATTTTTCGATTGAGGTTTTTGTGTTGAGATCA